TGAAGCAGAGTCTCATTACATAGCTCCAGTTGCTTAGGAACTTGATGTGCAGATCAGAGTGGTCTCAGACTCAGAAAGCTGCCTGCCTTTGCATCCCAAGTGCTAGAATTAAAGGTAGATGCCAACACTTCTAGCTAGTATATAACTTCTAATCTTGATCAGACATTTTGTAGAATAAAAAATTAGAGAGATGTTTGTATAGTTTCTCTAAAAATTTCTTGGGGTGTTTTGGGGTATTATAAATGTGTACCTTGTGCTTTTTTTCTGGGTAAGGTGAACACAAGAATTGCTAGTGTGAATGCAACACTTGATAAGACAGTACAATACTCTCTAATTCCTACATTAAGCTACTAAGGTACCTTTTTGTTTGTTTTTGGTTTTTTATATGACAAGATACACAAGAAAAATATGGCTGGTAGAGATAATACAGAATGGGTTAATGTTTGTAGCAGTCCAGGAGAATTATCAGTTTTACCACAGTGAATTAGGTGGAAGCTTTAAAAAAATTCAGGAATGGGGCCATTCTCAGAGGAATATGTATGCAACTAAGACATAAACACTGGTGTGTTTCAGAAACAGTAGAAGTACAATGTGCATAGTTATAGTACCTGGCAGAGAACATAGTTCAGCCATATCTAGAAAGCAAACGTTGCAGCCGCACTAGCTGTGCCATCGATGCCATATTTGGAAAGCATTTGTTTTGTTTCTTAAATGTAGACCTGAAGAGTATTGGAGGGGTCCCTTTAAACTAGGGTTACATGATCAGATTGCTGTTTCAGGTTAGTGTGACATCATTCTAAAATAACTTTGTTCAAAAATAAAAGCAAACAAAAATATACAAGTCACAGAGTAATTTAATGTTGTGTTAACAAAGGTTCCTGTGTAGCTAAGGCTCACCTTGACCTTTTGATCCCCTTTGCCTCCAGAATGCTAGAATTACGGGCATGTGCCATTACTTCCAGTTTATGCAGTACCAGGGAATAAACACAGAATTTAGTGCATGCTGGGCAACTCCCTTAACAACTGACTACACACCCAGCCCCAGATTGTGTATTTTTATTTTAAATCTTTTCAATCCATGGCATACTTTACACTAACAACATATCACAGTTTAGATGGCAACACTCACTGTTCAGCAGCCATCAGTAGCTGATGGCTATTTTATTGGATTTGATTCTTTAGAGCCTACACAATGCAAGATGCTTGATGATTGGAATGAGATTAGAAACAGGAAAAGTTTGTTTATCAACTCCCAGTGAAAACTGGTTAAGTGCCAAAACAAAGAGTTGTGCATGTGATACAAGCCGATTTTAAAAAATAGTTCTAGACTGGGTATGCTGGTGCAAGCCAAAACATAGACGTGGAGACAGCAAGTTACACAGTTATCTGAGTTGAAGGCTCGCCAGCCTTATCTACAAAGTGAGCCTTTATCTTTAAAACAAAAGCCTGTTTAAAAGTTTTCATATTCTGTATAATCTTATGCAACATGATTTTTTAAACTCAGCATTAGGTTTCTGCAATTCGTCTATATTAATGTGACAAGCTATAGTTCCTGTACCTTTTTCCCTCTTACTCCTCCTCTTCTGAGAATGAAGGGCTGGAGAGATGGCTTAGATATTAAGAGCACTTGTTCTTGCAAAGGACCTGGGTTTTATTCCCAACACCCATGTGGCAGCTCACAGCCATCCATAATTTCAGTTCCTGGTGCTCTGTTGCCCTCTTCAGCCCTCTAAGGATACCAGGCACTCAGGTGGTTCATAGGCACATGCAAGGAAACCTTTGACTAATGCACATCTTTTTTAGAAGATGGTTTGAGTACAGTGATAGAAGACAGGGAGCCAGGGTAGTAACTAGACTACACCTGTATCTTTTTTGATATATAACTTTGAGGTGTAAGAATATACCACCACAATCAGTTTTCCTATTGCTTTTCCCTCCCTCCTTCTTTGATATAAACAGTGTTGCTGTGAACATTCATCTGTAAGTCTCAGTGAATGAGACAGGGTCTCCTCAGACCTTTGGACTAGTGAGTCCTTTGTGATATTTTTCTTACAGGTATTTCACCTACTTTGTAACTTGCTTTATATTCAAAAATTGACTTTTGAATTTAATTCTTTTATCTGTAGTTGAAATTAACTATCTTTTATGGTAGTGCTTTTAAAAAGACTCTTAATTCTTCTACATGGTCGGAGATTTTCTGTTTTTAAAGCTTTCTCATTTAAGTTTGCAACTCACTTGAACCATTTATTGAGTAGCCCCTTACTAATTATCTATTACTGTATAATAAATTGCCCCAGCTTAGCAACTTAAAACAACAGATATTCATTATTATCTCATAGGTTCTACGTGGAAGGGATCTGGGAGTTTGAGTTGGGTTGAGGTTATTATCAGCTATTGGCCAGGGTTGTACTACTCACCTAGCCTCAAACTCAGTCATATAGGTATAGGCAGTCTCGTGCTCTTTAAGCCTCTAAAATTTGCCTGAGGGGGTTGAGTGTATAGGGGTGGTGCACTTGGCGTAGCACACTTCAGTCCTTAGGTTTAGTCCCTAGCATGTGGCATGGGGCACAGGGGAGATCTATATGCTGGATATAGTGGTTCCTGCCTGTGCTTCTAGCACTCAAAGAGATCACTATGAGCTCCAGGCTAGCTTGGGCTAGAGTAGTGAGACCCTTTCTCAAAAACCAATACCACAAACGTCTGAATAGTCTGAATCTCCTCCCAGCATGGCAGTGAGCTTTGTGAAGTAATGAGAAAGTTCAAGAGAAGACAAGAGACATAAATTGGCAGCGGGAGAGTGTTTGCTTGTTTTAGGCAGTCATACATATCTCGGCTGGCGAAGAACTCACTGTGTAGCCAAAGGTGCCCTTGAGTTTTTTCACCTCCTAACTTTGCCTCCACCTCCTAACTACAGGGATCACAGATATGTTTATTGTATTCAGTGTTGGGATCAATCCCAGGATTTCTTGCATGGTAGGCTTATCAATTGAGCTATATTCAAAGGCCAGAAAGAGCAGTCTTATTATAATGTAATATTAGACTTGTTTCTTCTGCTATATTTGGTACCCTGTATAGGTAAAAATTAAGGGAAATTAAGCTTTTCCTGTTGATGGAATTATGGCAAAGTATCAAAACATACCTTATGGTCAGCACAGTCCTTGCTCATGTGCAATGGCAAACTCTGTCAGGTAAAAATGTTCAAGATTCCAATCTGTTTCTGGCCTCTTTAATTTGATCTATTGGTTCAGTTTGTTTATATTATTTTTATTTTTAATAACCTTAAATGTGAGTTTATTCCCAAGACTCAGTTCTTGCTTTTCTCCTACTCTATATATTAATATATATTTATTTTGAGAGAATATCTATCAGTACCTATGAAATCTTAACAGAATATCTCAAACTGTGCATAGACAATTACCTCAGGCTCTTTAGATGTGTTACCAAATTCTTTTTTATGTATTTCTTCTTTGGAGGAACCTCTGATTATTATTTCAATACTGATTGTAATATTTAATACCCTGTAAGATTTAATAGCCTGGAATGATTCACAAGAAACCATATCTAGATTTTCATTATTTTGAGGGTATTTTCCATTATTACTAAATAATTGAGGATAATCTACCTAAAACAAGAACAGGTTTTAGATTCTCAGTTTCAGTGGTTTTGGTCCATCGTTGGCAGGCTCGGTCACTGTTGGACCTGTGGTGAGTGGTGGTTGGTTTAGCAGCTCTGCTTCAAGACAACCCAGAAGAAGAAAGAGACAGATAAGGTCTGGTTTCCAATATTTCTTTGAAAAGAATGACCTTTCTTCTAGTAAGGCTCCACTTCCTAAAGGTTTGCCACCCCCTCATCATGCCATAGGCTGGCAGTATGTACTGGCATCTAGGGAATGCTCATCCAAACTATAGTATCACATATTTAACACTATAGGCTTTAATAGGAATTATACATAAAAAATGTTTCTACTGTTCATTTGTATAACTTTTAGCAAAGAGACCCCAAATCTCTTTAGTTTTTTATTCTGGGAAGGACAAACAGTAAGTATAGTAGATAGGCAATCTTAAACGTGATGAAGGAGATACAGAACAGTGTACATAGAATACTAGAGAAGGGTGGTAAGGGAAAACCCTCTCTGCTGAGATACATTGGCATAGTGAGCTGAGAAAGTGAGGAAGTGAGGGTGTATTCCAGGCAGAGGAATAGCCAATGGAGACCCTGAAGGAGTTGTTTACTGACAAGCCAGCAGACATGTAATCTATGGAATTATAATGTAAAGGAAAAAAGTAACGTAGTATGTGAGTTAAAGATATTAGGGAACTAAAAGACATTTAAGAACCCAAGAGCTGTTTGAGGGCTTTTAGAAGAGGGTACCTATTCTGCCTTGTATGTGTGTTTAAACTGCAGAGGCTGTTTTATTAGTAGTGTACTGAAATTGTGGCAAAGAGGGAACCAGGAACACTACTATTAGGCTATTAGTGCAGAGTCCAGCCAAGAGGTTGATATGATGGCCATTTAGATTAGGAAGTAGTGATAAGTAGATTCTCTATGTATTTTGAAAACAAGAACCATTGACATTTACTTCAATTTATTTGCATTTAAAATTTTGATAGGGAAAATGAGTCTTATTTTAATTTCTTTTGGTTTTTGTTTTGTTTTTGTTTGCTTGTTTTGAGTTGTATTTTTTGCTGACTTGGAACTCTGACTCTATGTACACCAAGCTGGCTTTGAACTCAAAGTAATCCACCTGCCTCTGCCACCATGCCCAACAAATCTTCTCTGAATTTCATATTGTATGGGCTAGTATATTATACTTGGGAAAATAGAATCTCATTTGTTGACTTTTGCACATTTTTATAAAGTTTTTAGTGTATGGTTAGTAATTTCTAGAATACTTTATGAACCTGTTTTTAATGATCACATACATACGTTTTAATGACCTTTGTTTTGGTTATAGTAACGTTTTGTTTTTTTCTATTTTTTTTTGTTCTCATTTTATGTAGTTTGCTTCCATCTTTGCTTTTGCCACCTGTGGTGGGTTTAAGGGCAAAACAGAAATTCAAGTGAACTGTCCTAAAAATCCTGACAATAAGACGGTTACAGCTACTTTTGGTTATCCATTCAGGTGAGTTATCTTTTACTTGTTTAACCGCTGTTCTAACTTCATACTTGGTCATTAGGATCTTTAATCAGCCTGTCATCTTGTCAGTCTCAGCTCTTGGGAAGCTAAGGTAGGAGAGTTTCAAGATGATCTGGTATGGCAAGACCCTGCCTCAGACACATGGACTTAGGAATGTTTTCCAACTTTTATTTCCTAAAGGTGCTAGATTGTTTTAGATTTGCATGTTTATTTGTGGTCTTTATGCAGACAGTGGTACATACGGCATAATCTGCCTGTCTGCAGATTTTTCCTGGTTTCCAGAAGGAACTGTACAAAGGGGAGTATACTCATTTCTTTCTAGTTGCTGAGACCAAATATCTGACAAAAGGAAGAAGAAAGAATTGTTTTGGCCCACAGTTTCAGAGGCTGTACCATACTAAGTTGGCTTCATGCACTTGGACAGAAAATCATAGTAGTGAGAATGTGTGGCAAAGGTGGTTCTTCATCTCACGGTAAAGCAAGCATGCCCATAAACATCCTGCTTTCTCTAGGAAAGCCCCGTGCTGAAGTTCCAGAACCTGCCATAATAGTGTTACTAGAGAACCAGACATTCTTTACATGAATCTATGGGAGAAATTTCGTATAGGCCATCATGGCATATCTTTAATCCCAGAACTCAGGAGGCAGAAGCAGGGGGATCTCAATGAGTTTGAGGACTACCTGATTCTACATAAGAAGTTCCAGTTCCAGGACACCAAGGGCTATATAGAGCGACCCTGTCTCCAAAAACAAACTAGCATAACCCAGTAGATCAGAGATGGGGAAAAATGGAGACTACTCTGTTGGTTAGCCTGTCCGTTACCAAGACGCAAACATAGTTTATGAAGATACACATTTCTCATGTTTGTGCAGTTACCGAACTAATAGTCATTATTAGGTCATTTCAAGACATACATAAAGAATACACGTTTCTCAAGAGTAAAACCATGTTTATTTTACTTTTAAAGGAAAACAGTAACAAGTATCTCTGTGACTTCAGTATTTTACTGGAAAGTTTATTGTAAATATTGAATCTAGGATATGAATCTTTTGCTTAGCTTGCCTTACTTGACCTCTCAAAGACTCAGTTTCTGTCCAAAAAATTGGAAATAATAATTTTTAAGAATGTTTTGAGAACTAAATATAGTTTCAGGATTTCACTATGTAGCCCTAGTTGGTCAAGAACTTGTTCTATAGATCAGCTGACCCAGGAATTCATAGAGATCTGCCTTCCTCTGCTTCTTGAGTGTTATACTAAAGGCCTGTACTCCTGCACTCTCGGCAAATAAAATACTGCATTAGAGATCTGTATATCATGAGAGCTTACAAAGATTTTCCATCTCTTATCCATTCATTTTGTTATAGTAACCATCTTTAATGATGTTGGTTTTATAATATATAAATGGAAAAAAATGGAAGCCAGTGTAAATTTTCTTTCAGTTAGTTAATCAAGGGTTAAAATATGACCCATGGGCCTTGAGAGATGGCTCAGCAGTTAAGAGCCATCTAGGTCTCTGAGCCTAGGTCTCTGAGGACCTAGGTTCAATTCTCAGCACCCACATGTGGCTCACAATTGTGTGAATTCTAGTTCCAGTGAGTCTGATGCACTCCTCTGCCATCATGAGGCACACAGGTGGTATACAGACATACATGCAGGCACACATAAAGACATACATATATCCACACACATAAAGTAAAAATTAAAACTGAGTCTCCAGATTGATTGAAAATACCTTTCTAAAAACAAAAAGAAGATCATCACAACTGGTCTCCTGGGATTAGTGACACAGACCTCTGCCACTCAGAATAGAAATGTGAGTTATAAAGTAGTTATTAATTCTTTCTAACATGATAAATTTTTATTACAGGGAGATAGTATCTAAATGTTAAAATGTCTAATTCCATTTATGTTCAATCTGTCATAAACCTATTACTGAATAAACTTTTGGGTATATGTAGTATGAGATTTTTGGTTTAGTTAAATATTTAAATCTTTACTTTTCAAAAAGAAAATGTTGTTAGTGTACTTCAGGATTATATTTTGAAATGTCAATATTCTACTTAAGTATTTCTGTGTTAGGAGAGTCCAGTCATTCATATATTTATTTGAGTCTTTTTTTAATAGGTTGAATCAGGCATCATTTCATACACCTCCAGATGTCAATGTGTGTGATGTGAACTGGGAAAAGCATGTCCTCATAGGTGATTACTCCTCTTCTGCACAATTCTACGTTACATTTGCAGTCTTTGTGTTCCTGTACTGCATTGCTGCCCTTCTGCTCTATATTGGCTACACAAACCTCTACCGGGATAGTCGCAAACTGCCCATGATTGTAAGTTGCCATTTTCTGTCTCTATATAAAAATAGTATGCACACATATAAGTAAATTACAGTTCAAGGTAACTACAAATGTTTTTCCTACTAGAAATACAAATTATTGACATAAGTGTTTAACGTAAGGAAAGCTTTAGTTATTAAGTTAACTTCAAGTTTCAGTCAGTTTATACCTCAGGGATTTTTTTTTTAAGCCTAGAAAACTCTCAAATATTTGATAACTTATTAAGTTTTAAGTAGCAAGCATGTAAGAACTTAGTGTCTTTAATTTGAAGACTTGCAGGACACGTGAGTCTCATTTCTGCTTCTCACCCTTTTCCCTTTGCTCCAAAGTTTCTGTATGCCACTTGCATTTCTCAGAGTGCTTCATGGTCTTTATCAGTGAACTGGGGCCCAAGGGTCAAATTTGAACTTTTAAAATAGAATGTTTCTTAGAATGTGGCTCTACCTGACCCTTCATGTTATACATTATGTATGGCTGCTTTTATGCTAAACACTAGCAGATTATTCTTATATTAATTATCACTGATATCAGTAAGTTGCATTTGAATGTTACCAAAGGATTTGGATTTTAAGTCCTTTGGATTTTGATACCTTCCTAAAGGCTTCAGAGTCTACTGAGCTAGAAATAAAAATAATCTTGAGATTAAGGGAGTAGACTGTCCTAGATTATCAATGACAAGTCTAGTGATAAACCATGGTTTTTATTTAGACCTCCACTATAAAGGAATGGCTTTAAGGTCAATGCTGGTATGGAGGGTTTGGTGATACTAGGCATTTGTATCTATGAAAAAAAGCATTGAAGTCTTTAAAGAAGTTGTGAATTGACCTTAAATAGAAGGCTGTTTTAATATGAAGGAATTATTAAGATAAGTTATATTTACCAACTTATTTTTAATTTTTGCTGCTTGGATCATAAGAATGTAAATGGTAAGTAAAGAAGAAAAACATTTTTAATCATGCAGATTTTTATGTGTGGATAAGTATAAGAAAACTAGATAGTTTCATAAAATACTTATTGGCTGTTAATTACCTTCTTAAAAATGTTTATTCATTACAAACTAGGAATCTATAGCTTTGAACATTTTAGGCTTTGCCTTAAAAAGTGACTAGATTGATTGCAGATTTTTTTTTAATTCTATACTAATAAAAGATTTTTTGCGTTTTGACACTGGACCAACAAATTCCTTTTTTACTAAATAAGAAATTAAACCTCTCACATTTTATCTAATAATTTAAAAAACATTATACTTAATATTAAGAAGTAGTTTGTAGAAAGCTTTCTATATGATCAAAACAACTAGTTGTACATCATTCAAGGAGTCAGAAGTAACTTTCTATATTAGAGTGATGTTATTGATCATATAGAGATATTCCAAAGTTGGTCTCATCAATGATTTTTGCTAATATAATATAGGAGAAGTATTTATTTTTTGTTTTCATTTGTTTTTGTGATACAGGGCCTCATATAGTACAGGCTGGCCTGCTAAGTAATTAAAGATGACCTTGAACCTCCTGATCTTTCTGCTTCTGCTCTTAAGTGCTAGGAATGCAAGTGTACACTACCATGCCCAGCAAAATGGGTACTTTTTATTTATAAAAGTAAAATTCAGGAGCTGGTGAGATGACTCAGCAGCTAAGAGCACACATGATAGTTCTAGAGGACCTGAGTTCAATTCCTAGCACCCGTGTTAGGAGGCTCACAACTGTCTGTAACTCCAGTTCCAAGGGGATCCTATGCCCCCTAATGGGTTCCCCTCCACTCCCTAGACACACACGTGCACGCAAAATTTAAAATAATAAAGTAAACTTTTAAAGTTAAATTAAAATTTGAATGATTTAAATTTAATCATAAGTATAAAAAGGAATCATCGTATATTTTAAATGTAGCATTGACTTTTAGGTACTATTGATTAATAAGCGTAAGTTGTTGATTTTTTTGCATTCTCAATTCTGTACTAAGGTATTTTAAGTATTTTAGTTTCAGATTTTTTAGTCTAGGTTTTCTTTTTTAATATAGGACTTTTTTGTATTAAGTAGCAGATGGCGTAGTGGTACACCAAATCAGGAATATCAAAAATGAAACATGGCAAAAGGGATTTTCAAATTCTAAAATCTTTTACAAATCATGTTTTAGCTTGTTGGTTGGAGCCCAGAGCTCTAGGTAGCTGCATCTCAGGGCTTGAGGTAGAAGCGTTCTCTTAGACTGCTGCTGTGTGACTAGAATCTAGGAGGACATAATTTTTAGTAATCCCTCACATTTCATCCATCAGAGGCTTATTTTGTGCGCTGGGCCCAGAAAAGTTCCTACTTTTGAACTATGTGGATGCCTTAGTGTAATTACCAGCAAATTAGAGCTAAAGAGTGGAGCCGGCAGGCTGGGAAGATGATGCTGCAGTGGGTAAAGTTCTTGCTTTGCAACTGCTGGGGTCTGAGGTCACAGGAAAGTGCATATTATTACCCCAGCACTGCAGAAGGTATGCAGACAGGTGCCTCCCTAGCGCTCACTGACAGGCAGGTTAGCCAAATCTGTGAGCTCCAGCCTCAGTGAGAAACCCTGTCTCAACAAATAGAGAACAGCTGGGGCAGACACCTGACGTTCGATTCCGGCCTCCACACACAGGGTTATACACAAGATTTATATACACATACACAAAAATAAGCATAAACAGAAAAAAAAATGTTTAGCCAAGAATTCAAAAAGAAGTAAATACCTAAAAATTAAGGAATTTGACTTACTTTGATCAAAGCTATAAATTTAGCATTGGGGAAATTTGTTTACTCTGATATTTTATTGGGTTTCCAAAAAAAAGGTACTTGGAAAATGTCTGTTTGGAATGAAAGGGAACAAAATACAGGAGTACAGGCGGGAGAATGCTGGCTATGATACTTGCTTTCTGTGAGCTATGCATTTTAAAAGGACCAGAGTTCTGAAAGCCTACATGCAAATATCCGTGTTTGTGTAATTAGGTTTTGTCCTCTAAGCACAAATATTCACTGTGCAACTAAAAGGTGGCTGATAAGATAATTCAAATCCTTTTAATTTTTTTAACATTTATTTCAGTGTGTGTGCACATGTGCATCCACGCACATGCAGTCATGTATGTGTGGAGGTCAGAGGACAACTTGCAGGAGTTCAGGGATCTAACTCAGGTTGTCAGCCCCAGTGACAAGTACCTTTATCTGTTAAGGTATCTCACTGGTCCAAGATAATTAAAATTTCATTCCATTGTTTTTGTTTTGTTTTGTTTTTTAAAGTCTTTGGTGATAATCCCTAGAACTCCTTTCTGGGTTTGAACTAACTGGTTTGGTTAACTTTGCTATTAACAAACAGGAGCTCATCCTTGGATGCGCCCCATATGCTTAGAGGAATATCAACGCTATAACCTCTGTGTCATTTCCATTCATTCATAGGACAGCCAAACAAGGTGGGCTTCAACTTCATAGTACAGAGTTCTACTCCAAGTGTAATAGGTCTTTGCTGCCAGTCTAGTGAACAATATTTCAGTTCCCCAGCAAAAAAGATTAGATAAGGAAAATTTGGTTGTTTTGTTAATTTTTTTCTTTCTTTATCTTGTTATTCTATACAAACTAATCTAGTATTAAATATTAAAATTGTTATTTACATTTTTGGGAATGTAATAAATAACAGAATTCAGAAGAAATCAATTGAAATTCAAAAGAAACTATTTCATCTTTTTGTTACTATAATGAACATTCTTTTTAAATTTTTATTGTGATTTTATTTTTTGAAATTATAATTGCATTATTTCCCCTTTTCCCTTTTCTACCTCCAACCTTTCCCATGTATCCCCCCTTTTTCTCTCAAATTCATGGCGTTCTTTTCTTTCATTGTTGCTGTATATTTTTTCCTAAATATATAAATAGAGCCTGCTCAGTTCATATATTGTTGCTTGTATGTAGATGATTTCAACTGGCCGCTGGTATTAGAGAACCAGTCAGGGGCCTCTTCACTCGAGAAGACTATTTCTCCTCCTCTGACCATTCCTTGGTTGCATGTAGTTCTTTGTCTAGGGTTGAGACCACCTGAGCTTTTTCTCCTTCCTTACTAGCATGTGTATTAGTGTCATCCTTGTTCAGATCTCTAGGCAGCCATGTTGATAGACTTCGTAGGTGTAGTTTCTCTGACAGTTCTCACAGCAAGCCTCCTGTTTCTCTGTCTCTTACAGTCTTTCTGCCTCCTCTTGTTCTCTACATTTTGATTGGTCATAGTTTTCTGTGATGGTCTCTGCCTATTTCAAAGAAGGTTTCTTTGATGAGAAGTGAGAACTACACTTATTCTGTGGATATAGAGATAGATATTTAGAATGTAGTTAGGGATTATGCTGGTTTATTTAGTAAAGTGACAGTTAAAGGTTTTCCTCCGAGATCCGTGATTTCTCTAGCTGGGTAGTTGGCTGGGTTTCCAGTCAGGCTTGATTTCCTCCTTATTTGAAGAGACCATGCATTCAATTCAATAACTGTTGGTTTTGACCAAGGTATACATGCCATGTTAGTCATTGTGATTCATAGGTTTTATAGCTGAATACGACTATTGGTTGCTTCCCTCCCTTAGAATTTTATACGCTGCCTTCTGGTATCATAAAAACTAGTCCTCAAGTAGGTTTTCAGATCAGATCCAGCTCAGGTCCTCTGGGTTCTGTATCAGAAATGCATAGTCTTCAGCAATAGAAACTTACCTTGTGTCTCTGGGGGACAACCAAAGGCATCAGCAGTGTAACGCTCAGGAAGTCTCTTGGACAACCCTGATCACAAATCTTATGCCTGGTGTTGGAGTTTCTGTTAGCAAGTCTGTTATAGCTCTTGGCTCTTAAGGGGAACATTGTTGGCCTAAATGGAGAAATTTTCATTTAAACTATATGTATACACAGACATATATAACTTTAGGCAGTTAGATAATAATATGACTTCTTATGACTTCAGACTCCTATCATTTTTACCCTGCTTCTATATTTAGCTTCCTCTTCCTCCCTAATTAAAACCCCATAATTTTTGAAAATTTTATATGTATAGGTGTTTAGCCCACGTGTATGTCTGTGCGCCACATGCCTGCTGGGTCCACAAAGATCAGAAGAGTGTGTCAAATGCCCAGAAACTGAGATTAAAGACAGTTATGAGCCACCATATGAGTGCTGGGAATTGAAGTTGGGTCCTCTGGAAGTGTAGGCATTGCTTTTAACCATTGAGACATTTTTCTAGCTCCTAATACAATGAACATTTTTAAAATTCATAGTCATGAAACTTAAAAAACTTGGTTGTATTGTTTGAACTACTTCATTCATTGATTTCTTGGAGAATTATTTTTGACAAGACGGAGAATTTTATCTGAATATAGGAGGATGAGGGAGTTGATTTGTGTATGCAAGGGGTTGTAACAATATAATTAAAGGAAGTAATTATGCAAGTAAAGTTGAGTGACAATTAAAAAAGAAAAACTGGTAGCGTCGGTTTATAGGTCTTAGCAGGGTCAGCAACTTCCAATAATGAGGATCAACAAGGATTATGGAATGAAAAAACACACAGTCTGGTGGTGCATGCCTTTAATTCCCTGGAAGCAGAGGCAGGTGAATTTCTGTGAGTTGGAGGTCAGCCTAGTCTATATATTCAGTTCCAGGCCAGCCAATGCTATATTGTAAGACTGTCTCAAAAAAACAAAATAAAAAAGATAAAGAGAAATGCTCTTACTTGTTGACAGTTAAATAAGGTGTGACTCTAGGAGCAGATGGCCAAGATTCTGGTGACAACTTATTTTTAAGTTTCCATAAAAAAGTGGATGGTAGAAAGAGATCCATAAAAAGAGATGGTTCAGTGGATAAAGAGCACTTGTGAAAACAAGAGGATCTGAGTTTAAATCTCCAGCACGCATGCCATGTGGGCCTCTGTTTCAGTGTGGACTATAGAGATAGGTGGATCCTGGGGGATTGCTAGCTAGAGAACCTAATTCAAAATAAGGAATGTCAGGTTCAGTAAGAGACCCCATCTCAAACAGCTAAGGTTCAGAACAACAGAAGAAGACACTGACTCACTCCTCTGTTCTCCATGGGTACACATGTAGGTGTGCACATTCACCAAAATTAAAAATAAAGATAGAAAATAAAAAGTAAAGAAAAAGGAATATCCACCCATTCTTGCAAGGAGTCAAGAAGATTGCTCGGAATTCAGAACTAACAGAACACTGCCTCAAATATAGATAAAAGTTTAAGTTACAGACTTCTAAGGAAATAGCTAAGTCTTATTGTTTCTCTGGCTTGGTGCTAGAAACAGTAAATACCAATGGTGATTAGACTGAATGTGACCTTTTGTACAGAGTAGTCATGAAAACCAACCATTTCTTGGTACCATGGAATTAAACAGAATCCTGATTTCTCTATTGCTGATATGAAATATGCTACTTTGAAGTTGATTGTGCACTAACTGGTTGTTTTTCTCTAGGACTTTATTGTTACTATTGTGGCTGCTTTTCTGTGGCTGGTGAGTTCCTCGGCCTGGGCTAAAGCTCTGACAGATATTAAAATAGCTACTGGACCCAGGATTATTGAGGAACTCGATCCTTGTAACAAGTCAGGATTGTCATGTAACTTTGTCTCTGTGACGAGTATGGGATCCCTCAATGTGTCTGTGGTAAGTGTCTGACACACAGTTTGTTTCATTTACTAGAACATTTAAGAAAGCAGTAACTTTCAATAATCTGAATAAGTTGATTCTTATTTTATTCAGCTATTTGGGTTCTAATTTAGGATATATACACACATACTTATAGAAATATATCCAAGATATAAAGACTAGAAGATAACTAATAATGACATGCTACCCATTGTGGTATAGTATCTTAAGTTATTCAGCCACTCAGAGAGGACTATGAAAGGCAGAAGTGTTAGCTTCATTGTACAACTGAGAAAACGTATGTACCTCCTCCATTACATTCCTCTTAGGAGACACAACTTTTGAACCAGATCAGACTTTGACCCTGTTCTCCTAAGTCTGAGTTACTAAGAATGCATAAAACTCTAATAGTTTTAAAGTTTGTTAAATCTGTAAAATTTAATATATGTAATTCATTGAATATTTTTCTATTTCATCAAACTGAAGTTTATTGTCGGTAATGTTGAGCATATTCTATTTTGGAAGGCTTTTTCAAGAAAATACTTTTATATAAGTTGAAACCAGTACTGCCTTATAAAGCAGTTTCCCCAGATTTGTGCTTATAACTTTGGAATGAAAAGTCAGTACTTGGAGCTTGTGTTCACAGAGTGCTTTGAGAAGAACAAGTTCAGAAGAAGTTTGTGTGCACTTACACAAAGACATGTAAAGCATTTGCTCTTTAGTTACATAGTACCCATAAGTCACACCACAGATTGATGGAAGGACTTTGTTAAATAACATAGGTAGGTTGTTCAGTTTGTTCCCCTCTGAAATTTCATCTAGTCCTATGAGTATGTGGAAAGAAAATTCTCGTGTGTTGATCAGTGCAGGATGTAAAGTAAAATTCTGGCTCAGGCTATTGGGATAGCAGCAAGCAGTCAGAAGAGGGAAGGAAATAAGAGATTCAGACTATTTCAAATGGAAGAAAGGTGAAAACTGAAAAGGTAGAGACTCAGCTTCCCATTGACCCTCTTCCCTGGATACCAAATCTAAATTCAGAGTAGTAAAGGGAGGGTCTCACTTTTCTCTGTTGTAATCAGAAGTTCTGCTTGCAGAAATAAAAGGTTTTCGTTTTTGTTGTTTTATGTTAGATATAGAGGTTTGACATGTTGTGTATAAGTCATTATACATCCGTAATTTGTACAGTGGACTGTATGTAGTTTTCATTTTTTTATTCTACTTTGTATGTATTTTAAAGCAAACACTAGATTTTTATATGTTTTCCTCTTTCATAGATCTTTGGCTTTCTGAATATGATACTTTGGGGAGGAAATGCTTGGTTTGTGTACAAGGAGACCAGCTTACATAGTCCATCAAGTACGTCAGCTTCCCACAGCCAAGGAGGTGTCCCACCCACTTCTGGAATGTAATTAAAGGGAGAAATAAACTGTATGAAATGTGTGCTATACTATGCCTTGTTGCCAACATCTTGAGAAGCATTATTGTTTCTAATAAAAAGTAATGGCTTTTTCAGTAAATTGGTGGGTTTAAAATTTTGCTGCTTTTCTACATAAAACGTGCCTTTTCTAGAAATTTAAGATGTAAATGTATTTTTACATGTAAGTTTGAAAATTCAGGAGCCTGTTATGAGATGATGTTACTTTTAACTGAACAATAATTTAACTAAGTTGCTTCTAAAGTGTTTACACCTTAAACTTTAACATAAACCTTCATTCAGAAAACAGTTATGTCGTATCATAATATAGGAAGGATGTGTTTGGGATATACACTACTGTTAGTTTGTACACATCATATTCTTAAGGCTTGGCTTGTTTAAGAAAACCTTGATTGTGTAAATCATATTTAGAAAAAAATTAGTGCAATTTTATATTTGAATATTGTTCATGTTAAAAATTTTTTTTGAATTGAAAAGTCTGGGTATATATTTTGTTTCTGTTTTTCTAAATGACCTGCTGTACTTATTAGGTTACTAAAATTGTCGTAGAAGCAAGAGTTTGAAAATTGTAACAAATGTGTAGAATTCACTTTGCACTTGTGTTACATGGGTATAGTCATTATTTCTGGTGGTTTTTTAGACTTGCAAAGAGCATGGTTCCCAAGATGGTGTTTTATATGTAGGCGTTCTCAATGATGCTTGTTTGCTATCTTTTGTGCATACCAAGAGAGGAAAAAAAACCTACTTTTTTTTCCCAGACCCTGTTTAGAGGGTTACTAAAAATTAAGGTTGCCTTTTACTTTTGAAACATTTAACATTTAGTCAATGAAGTTGCTTCTCCTGAGTTTAACATTGATATTGTGAAAATAAATGCAGTACAGATTTCTTATTTCTTAAGATTCATTCTTCATAAAAGGGTGATAAGGAATTATGCTCATAAAGGAACCTGAGTAAGCTGTATTGTGTATGTACTGTCTTTACACATGCATTTGTGTATGTTGAGAATACAGTGCTTTTTGTTCCTGGCTTTTTTTGTTGTACATGGATTCAGACTTCCTAGTCTTACAAGATGATGTTTGTATGTAACGCACATCTTACGATATTGCCTTATTTTTGTTGCTTTCTTCATGGCAAAGTGTCAGTTTGAGAATGTGTGTTTAATAAGCAAACAATAAAGAAGTTAAAGTAAAGAATGCCCTGTTGTTATATTACAATGAACTCTTCATCCTAAAGGTATAATCATTGCACAATGGAACCTCTTTTCAAAGCAGGAGATAGAATTTAACAATAGTGTTTTTAAATACCAATAGAACAGACTAAAATGCTTCAGATATTTCATTCTTGTTTGAAAAATATAACTCTTAGATTCTTTTCCTGGTAAATATTTTCTCATTGGTCATTCAAACAGGAAAGATTACTGACTGAGAAGATACAACTTCCAGACCTGTTTCTGTATTTCAGTTGATAGACTGTTTGTCTAGCATGCACAAGGCCCTGGTTTCATTCCTCTGCACTACTGCATAAATAAGCCAGTTATAGCAGCTCAAGCCTTCAAGCTCAGCACTCCACTTTTTAAGGTCATCCCTGCCTCCTTGGGGAGTTTGAGGCTAGCCTGGGATATATCAAGTCAGGTGTACGCCTTTCCTGCTCTCTCTTTTCTTACCCCATCTTTTTCTCCCTTCTTACTTCTTTTCCTTGTTCCTCCTCACCTTCCCATCCTAGAGCTAAACTGCTAGGATTTGAACCTGTCCTTGGCTAGCTCACAAGCTGGCTAGTAAGTCGAAGCCTACATTTGTATTTGAACACATGGAAATATGAATACTGACCTTGGCTGGAGAGAGGGCTCAGGGGTTAGGAGCATTGGCTGCTCCTCCAGAGGACCCACATGACAACTAATAACCTCTTATAACTCCAAGGGGCATCCAATGTCCTCTTCTGGCTTCTACAGGTACTACATACATTCACAGACAGTATGCATGCAGGCAAAACACACATAAACCTTTTTTTTCTTAAACTGACTTCAAAAATTATATGAAAAGCAAAATGGGTATAGAGGTTGTGAAATGCCTTCTTCAGCACATAGGTTCTCCATGAATGTTAGCTGTTTCTAAGACTGTTAGCCTGGAGTCCAAGGGACTAGAGGGCACAGGCTGAGAAGCGGGGGGAAGAGCTTCAAGCATCTAAGTTTCTCCCTTTGTAGTGTTTACAGTTGGGTTTTCCTTAACCAATCCTAAGAGTCTATGTGTGTTTATCTTTCTGTTGGTGCAGATGTTGGCAAGGCTAATGAAATTAAAAAGTAGTAGTCCATTGAAATGAGCATAAACTCCGAAAGGGCTTCTGTTAGCCACCCACCCCGACCCCGCTGCTTCTTAGGAAACATTACAGAGACAATTTCTAGGACAAAAGCCATAAAAGCTTTAACTTCCCAGAAGATAGACTGCAGAGAGCTATTTAGAAACAGACTCATTACTAATCTAAAAAAGTTCACATGGATAAAGATTTTCAATCTAAAAGGTAAGGGTGGCATTGCATAATGTTTTATGTTTGGGATGTAATTATAAGTTTTTATATACTATTTCCAGAAATAGATGAATGTATAAAATCATACAGAAGCGCTTTAGATAAACCAGAGTTTTAAAAGAAATAAAATATTGCTAGAACAACTTTCCCTACAGTTGGTACAGAAATGAATTTCTCATCTGTACTTGATGCTGCTGGGCTGTTCATCACTGCTCTGAGTTTGAAGTGTAATCTTTGTTTTAAAACCTGATTGTGATTGCTGTTGAGGTTGGCCTTCCTTTGCTGTAGTTACTAGCTCCTCTGCTTCTCCTGCATTCTCTTTTCAAACCCCTAGCTTAGTTTTCTTCTGTGAGACTTTTCCTGTGGACATAAGCAGTTCCCTGCATCACCTTGCCAGTAACCCCTTGGCATTTACATGGCTGCAGTGCTCTCCCATCTATGGCTTGTATTTTCACTGGATTTTGTCATATGAACTTGTTCATTTCAATGGTATGTAACTTCCTCATGGGTTTTAGTTTTCTGCGATGGTGAAATCACTATTCTTATATACATTTTAGAATCCTCTTGTCAAGTTCCTAAAGACCCTTTGTGAGGTTTCATTTGGGAAGAATTGCATTGAGTTTATACATCAATTAATTTGTGAAGAATTGTCAAATTTATAATGCTACAGTTTTGTATTTAAAAACATGGTATATTTCTGCATTTATATTTTATGCTTTCCAATAAAGTTTTGTAATTTTCTACATAAAGACTTAAGATTATACTTAGCCTTGAGTGTTTTCTTGATGTTTACACAGTTACAGTAAATTATATTTTGAATTGTGTTGTAATTGTCCATTGCTGTTATATATAAACAACACATGGATTTTTACCTACTGATAATTATAGAAGTTGGCAGTTTTTCAAATCTTGAATTTTTAATATGTAAATTATCCTAGTATATAATGTGTATCGTCTACAAACGTTGGTAGTTTTACCGTTATGTCTGGAATTACACTAAACTTTCTAATTATTCTCTAATTATAAAGTGATCATCAAGAAAATCTATTTTAAAGCAGTAGAAAATACATATTTACCTGACACACTGACTGGTAACTGCTTCAATACATCACTTGTAACCACAGATTTACGCTGTTGTATATTGGTAGTTATAGTAACATAAACTGGTCAGATCAATTGTTTCTTTGTAGAGTTGATTCCACAGTGGGAAATAATAGTTGAATCAAACCAATCATAGTAAGAATGGTCATATGAATCTCTTGGGTTGTAATTTGTTTGACTTCGATTGGATAAGAATGGTACTTAAAGCTGGGTAGTGGTGGGACATGCCTTTAATCCCAGTGCTTAGGAGCCAGAGACAAGCAGATCTCTACAAGTTTGAGGCCTAGTCTACAGAGTGAGTTCTAGGATAGCCAGGGCTACACAGAGAAACCCTGTCTTGAAAAACTAAAAAAAAAAAAAAAAAAAAAATGGCATTTAGAACCAAAGCCTCAGTAGCTTGTTGAATTACAACGAATATGGTTGGATTCTTTAAGCTGGTTTTGTTTAGGCATAGTTGGCACATGACACATGTCTGAGGTATACAGTTTTAATACTGACATGCATCTGGTGAAGCTCAGCACATCTAGAAAGTGAACCAGTATCGGTTACTGCTCAGAGTGTCCCCTATCCCTCTGATTACCAACTCCAGCAACTGCTGTCACTGCGTGTTCTCTCGGATGTCAGTATGAACTCACTTGAGTTCATCCTATACTATAATTTTCTGAGTGTTGTGTGTGTGAATTCCCACAACTTGCATGTGTATTCCCTTGTTGGTAAATAGGCTGCTTGGAGCTTTGTGCTAATGACAGTTTATAAACATTTACAAGTCCTAATGCTAGGTGCATACTTAAAATCTCAGTACTTGAGAGGCTGAGGCAAAAGGATTGTGAGTTTGAAGAAAGTCTGGACCGTATGATGGAAGCCTATTTCAAAAGGGGAAATAAAACCTGCAATATGACACAAAAAGTGTTAATCCTGGCACATAACTTCAGACTCCACACTCGGGAGGCAGAAGTAAGCAGATCTTGCTGAATCCAAGTCCAGCCTGGTCTACACAGTGACTTCAGGATCAGCTAGGGTTAGTTACATAATGTGTTGGCTAGTTTTATGTCAGCCTGACACAAGCTAGATCATCAGAAAGGAGGGAGTCTCCTTTAAGAAAATGCTTAGATAATATGGGGCCGAAGGCAGGCCTGTAGGGCATTTTCTTAATTAATAATGGGAGAGGACCCAGCCCATTGTGGGTGGTGCCACCCCACGGCAGGTGTTCCTGGGTTCTATAAGAAAGCAGGTTGAACAAGACAGTAAGCAGCATTCTTCATGACCTCTGTATCAGCTCTTGCCTCCAGGCTCCTGCCCTGCTTGAGTTCCTGTCTTGATTTCCTTCAGTGATGATCAGTGATGTGGAAGCATAACCCTCTCCTCTCCAAGTTGTTTTTGGTCATGACATTTTAACACAGCAATAGAAACTCTAACTAGGACACGGTGTGACCCTGTCTCAAAAAAAAAAAAAAAACCGAGGCAGCATACTTTAATAGTAAAGTCCTGGGCATGATGCATTCCTGCCAGTCCATCATTTGGGAAGTAGAGGCAAAAGGATCTGGGGTTAAAGGCCAGCCTCAGTTACAGGACACCACCCTCCCCATCACACAAAAGTAGGGCTGGAGAGGTGGCTCAACACTTAAGAACACTTCAGTCTCCAGTGTCTGTGTCAGCCATCTAGCTCCTGTTTCAGGGCATCCAATGTCCTATGCTGTCGTCCATGGACACTGCATATACATGTGGACACATATATACCCGTGAAGGTTTTCAAAAAAATAAATATTTTGAAGGAAAACTAACCCTAGCCCTAACCCTATGCAGGAGCATACAGTAGTGACACTAACTTGAGAAGCTGCCGTAGTGGTATGTACCATCAGTATGTGAGACTCCAGTTTCTTTACATCTTCGTAGGCAGCATGGTCAGAATTTGGAATTGTTTGGGGCTGTGTGTAGTAGTGCCATTGTGGTTCTGATTCTAAAAATAAACCTGCTTGTATTTTTCTTCGTTTTGTCTTTCAAAGCGCAGATTTAATTGTTTTGTGCTGGGGATTTTTTTTTTAATTGTATTTTCCCTTAGGGATTTACTTTTGATGTGTCTATAAACCCTCTCCTCTCCATGTTGTTTTTGATCATGGAGTTTTAACATAGCAATAGAAATTCAAGTGCAGAGGATTTCCGTGCCCTCATTGTAAATAGGATCTACAGTAAAGCTTGAGAGAGAGCAGCAGCCACGTCATTTCCAAAGCGGAAGTACACCTGGACTCAGTCCTGCCCCGTTTAGCCTGCACACGTAGGCCAGGTACCACATCCTGACCAGGACAACATGTGCTCTCTGCACGGGGTCAAGAAGCTGACTGCAGTGAGCTGAAGGCTGGCAGTTAGGGGACCACCTGGCTCTTCCATCCTCTCTGTCAAAACACCCTATGCTGAACTAACTATGCTGGATATGGAACTTCCTGCTACCCCAGAAGTCAGACTTTTCCTTTGGGGGATCGGTCAGAGATTCCTTACTGGGGGTGCAGGGGTGGGGCTTTGAAGAGGCTCCTTGCCCTACCCCACTTCCATCCCTCTCAAGCCCGCTTTATCATTC